GTTGAAATGTATTTATTTATGCTCAGTTCATATTATGCTCAATTAAATATTTTCTTTTATAAGAATTGCAGTAGTAATAGCATCTTTTCATAAAAATAGAAACTGTAACTAAGACAGTGACCCTAAATGTATAGCCTTCTGTAATGTTATCTGTTCATTGTAGTCTTCATTTCTGTGGGACTGGTCTCTCCATGGGTAGCATGGACTCATCTTATGGTTTAATGTTTTTGGCATCAAGACTGAAAATTTAATTTCAAAACCTGGAAAATCATTATACCAGTAAATGGTCTCTGTAGTGGAGTGTTGGGCAAGTAAGATAAATCAATTGTGATGAATCAGTTGTATCATCTTCATGAATAGATGAATGTGAATTTGTTTATCATGGACATTTGTACCATATGTATATGGTAAAAGGCAGAGAGACATGGTTAAAATGTTGGATGAGAAGATCAAGGAAGATAAGTAATACAACTGACACTCCTGAGATATCACAGAGCCAGTTGCTTTGAAGACTTGTATTGTGGCTTCCTTCCTTGTCTTTTCCTTCCTTATATATCATGTTTGAGACAAAATTTCAGTAGACAATCACAATTGGGTCACAGAAATTATGAAATGCCACAGAGCAGGACATAAGAGAATGAGTACCTGGGAAGCAAGGCAAAGTGTGAACTAAAGACAGATTTACAAAATTTGTCACATGAACAAGGACACATGTGCCAGAGTAGAATCAGTACTTCCAAACAGTCACCAAATTCCAGGAATATAACCAAATATTATTGAAGCCGCTCTAGGTTTTTAAGTATTCTCTTTTCCTTGTCTCTTTTGACTCCAAACATGTATTTTTAAAAGCTTGATCATGATGAGGGACTTCATCCTGTTGTTGTTTTCTTATAATTGATTTTATTCCTAATTAAATGTGTTCTTGCCTCTGTAAATCAAATTGCAGATACAAATCTTACGATTCCTATTCTGAGATGGAATTTTAAGAGGGCAGTTTATGGAATTGTTATGATGTAGGTGCTACATTCAGATACAACCAGTTGCATCATTAATTGGGCAAAATAAACATTACACAAGGATACTTTATTTTTCAAAAAGAAAACTTCTAGAAGAACTAACATTTGCCCATTGATATTTTGTAATATTATTTTGAAAAACAGATATGCAAGAAATCATAATAAGTATAATATTAAAATTTAGACACTAATGAGATTATAAATATTATTACTTAACATTACTGAATATTCCCTCAGTCAAACAACTGATAAACAGTAACAGTGTTTTCCACAGAGGATTATGAAATATAATAATATAATACACCTAGTCCAGGAATTGTGCCTGATACATGTCAAACTGTTCCACATAGTAAAGTACATCTCTGTGTGTATCTGTGAGTGAGGATTAACTAAGCAGGAAGACCTGCCATGAATGCAAATGTTTCCAAAAAATAGACTGAAAATGTGAATGAAATAAAGGGTACAAAGTTGAAATCCAATCTCTTTGTGCTCATTGGCTTTAATTGAAGGAGTCCCTATCTTCTGTCATTCCCTTAATGCCACAATGGTTTGACACCTCTAATGCCAAGAGCCAAATAAGTATTTCCTCATTTAACGGTTCGCATGCGTTTTTTTTTTTTTCTTTCTTTCTTTCTTTTTTCGAGACAGGGTTTCTGTGTGTAGCTTTTGAGCCTATCCTGACACTCTCTCTGGAGACCAGACTAGCCTTGAACTCACAGAGATCCGCCTGCCTATACTTCCCGAGTGCTGGGATTAAAGGCGTGAACCACTAACACCCAGCCTCATGCGTTTTTTACAATAATAACATTTTTTAAAACTATTTATTCTAGGTGTTTATATAATGATTCTCTATAAAAATATAATGTTATTGTATTTGTTTAATAATCAATAATTTAGAGCTATATTAGAGTTTGTATTTTACCTAATATACAGAGTATGTATTTTATATTTTGTAAAAATTACTTAACCTAAGCACTCAAAGATTGCATTATGATAAATAAATGAATATCAATATTAGTTTTAAAAGCCACTCAAATGTTTAAGTCAATAATTTAATCCTAAATAAATCAAACTCATCAGGTTTATTGCATTTTTTCTTAAAAATATTTCTAGTTGAATAGCTCCCTGCAGTTCCATGAAGCAGGCAGGGGCAGGACTCAAGCAGGAGCCACCCAGGAACTCTAGCCCAGGGATAGGAGATGGCAACAGCTCTGTAACATGCCATGCAGCTGCTGAGGACAGTATTCAACTAGGAGCCACCTGGGTAATCTAATCCAGGGTAGAGGCACAGCAACATGACCCTAACACCCTACCACATTAAGTGGCTAGAAGAGTTAGGACTCAATTGAGAGTGAGTACGGGATAGCAATATGAGAGAGAATGAGGCAGAATGAGCCATGTGCACATGAGAGAGGAAGACTTGAAGAGGCAAGGGAGGTGAAGAAGGCCATAGCCAGATATCTGAGTCTGGGCTTGTTGCCAAGAGGAATGATTTTGGTGTGACCCTGATGAAGGCTCAGATGATAGGGCTATACAGAGTTGGCCTCACCCCTCACTGCATGAAGCACTCAGGAAAGTGGGCCCCACACCTCATCTTGGCAGCATAACTGAGTGTGTTTGCCAAGGCACAGGCAAACTGGCACTGAGGATGGGAGAGGAGGTGGTACTCTTCTCCTTGGCCATAGGTGAGTGTCAGTTGTAGTCTCCATCAACATGGAGACTACAACAGTTGGGTATCCATGTTTTATTCATCAGGTCTATGTTTGGAGGGAAGCATGTCGATTAAGAAATTAGAAATTAGGGTGCAGAACTACATAGAGAATTCTCAACAGAGGAATCTAAAATGGCAGAAAGACACTTAAGAAAGTGCTCAAAATCCTTGGCCATCAGAGAAATGCAACTCAAAACAACTCTGAGATACCACCTCACACCTGTCAGAATGGCTAAAATCAAAAACACCAATGACAATCTATGATGGAGTGGATCACTCCTCCATTGCTGGTGGGAGTGTGAACTTGTAAGACCACTCTGGAAATCAGTATGGCTGTTGCTCAGAAAATGGGAATCAGTCTACCTCAAGATCCAGCCATTCCTC